CAAATTATTTTATATTTTAAAATTTTAATTTAATTTTCTTGTAATGAGAAATTTAATTAATTAATTTTTCATAAATAAATGAAAATTTTAATTTAAAAATAATATTTTTTTTATCGATTTTACTACAAATATTGGCAATAAAATTTATAAGATCATTAAGTTTTCCTACAAATTTACATTCAATTTTTCTATAAAATTCTGTGCACAAAAATTTACAAGAAATATTAAGCTTTTTCTACCATTTTTATTTCTAGGAAACAACGTAAGAAGTCTTTAGAATTGCTGTAAATATTTTTTTCAAAATTTTCTTGTGAAAATATTGGTAAAAAAATTGTAGGAAATTGTGAGTTTTTTTTTATCTTTTTTATTCCTAAATTTTTTTAAAGGAAACTTAATAAATTTTTACAAATTTTTATACTAATTTTTTCTAAGAAAATAATAATTTTTTTAAAACAATTATATGAAATTTTGTAGGAATTTTCTAGAAACAAAATTCTAGAAACAAAATTAGCAGGTAATAACCATAATTCTAGTAGTGATCACTCAACTAATATTCTTTGGTAAGGGAGTAGATGTTTGTTATTGGAAACTATTAGGATATTATTATGATCTATACTAGTGTGGTACACATTTTCTATTATTTCATACAATCTTTTATCATTTTACATTAACTATCTCTAGATGAGATCCTATTTTTACTACATTCTACTTGTTTAGTTTGGTGGATTTATGCAAGATAATAGGAATAAGAAAATCCTATCCATTTTTTTTTAATTAGTTGACTTGATGAGAATTAATTTAAGATAATTTCATGAAATTAGGATTAATGTTATATATAAAAATTTAATATCATGATGGAATATTTTTTGGATAACCTTGAGTTAGTTAATATAGTTCTAAAAGTATTCAAAAGTTAGTAATATACGACTTAATACATGGGGAATAACATGAGCAGTGAAGCAATAAGTAGCTTGTTTCTCAAAGTAATTACAGACTGAAGTATAATTAAAATCACTTGAATAGTAGTGCAATCTTTTATCATGGATTCAAATTTACTTTTATAATGTGTTGTTTGCTTTTCTTTTAGGAATTGGAGGAAATATATTAGATTTATTTAAGATAGAGTCGATTCTAATTTTGAAGATGAGGGTGAGGCTGAAATTGAGAAAGTTTGCACTAATGATACCTATAACACTGATATAAATAATGAAATGACGGAAGAAGATGACAATGATGTGATAATTAATGTTGATAACTTGGAAGATATTCTTAATATGGATCTTAAAAGCTTTAGCCCTCACCAAATAAGAAATGTTCATTTCATAAGTTTGGAGGTAACATACTTGTTTTATATATGGTATGTAAATAATTCTACTGCTAGAAAAAACACAATTCTTCAAAACATTAAACATAAAATTTTACTACAAACTTATAGGCAAAGATTTTGTGTGAAAACTTCAACCAATGAGAATAGTAAGTATCAAAGTCAACCTCTAAAATAGGTGTGGTTGCAAAGATAAATTTAAAGTGCATATAAGCATAAATTCTAGTTGATGGTATGTAATAATTTTTTTGATGACCATAATCATGAAGTACTAGATGAATAGTTTTGTGGAATGCTTCTAACACTTGAGAAATTTAGCAAGTTAAATATAATGCAAGTGAACAACTTTAAGAATGTTGATATTGGGCCCTATTTTATAAACGATTACTTTGCTGCCTAAGTAGGTGGATATGAAAAAATAGGTTTTCATAAAAAAGATAAATAATTAGATGGAAGGCATAAAAAAACACGAATCAGATTCTACAAGAACTCTTCAATACTTTAATAAGTTGGCATTGATTGATCTACTAAAATGTTTTGGACATAAGCAATAAATATAACAACTTACCTTATAAATAGAAGACCGCTAGTTCCCTTGGATTATCAATTACTTGAAGAAGTATGGTTTAAAAAGGAGGTAAAACTTTCACACTTCAAAGTTTTTGGTTGTGTCTCATGTTTTGATAAACTCTGACAATAAAGATAAATTAGACCACAAGGCAAGAAAGTGTTATTTTATTAGCTATGGATCTAACATGTATGGTTGTTTTGAGATAACTAAAACAAGAAAATCATTAGAAATAGAAATGTTACTTTTAATGAGTACATGTTCTATAAAGATAGATCTGTGGAATTTATGAGTGCAACGAGATTGTCAAAACTTTCTAAGAGTGTAGAATTGGAAGAAATTTCAAAAAGTAATGTAGCTAATAGAAGGTCAAATATAGAGGAAGAACCTGAATCCAAACCAGAACCAGAACCCACAACAATGCCAGAAATCCCTATGACCCAATTGAGGAGATCTAGTAAAGTACTAGTAGCATTGCAAAGGTATTCTAATTCATTGCATTATTTGTTATTAACTTATGCTGGTGAGCTAAAATATTTTGCAGAAGCCATGCAGGGGAATGATCTATTAAGTGGGAGTTAGGAATGAAAGATGAAATGACATCTCTTCAGAATATTGGAAAATGGTCATTTACCAAACTACCACAAGGAAAGAAAGCCTTGCAGAACAAGTGGATTTATAGATTGAAAGAAGAACCTGACGGCAATAGAAGATACAAGGCAAGACTTGTAGTGAAAGGGTTTCAATAAAAACAGGGAATTGACTTCATAGAGAATTTCTCTCCTGTTGTCAAGATGACTACCATTAGAATTATCTTGAGTAACCTGACGGCAGTAGAAGATACAAGGCAAGACTTGTAGTGAAAGGGTTTCAATAAAAATAGGGAATTGACTTCATAGAGAATTCCTCTCATGTTGTCAAGATGACTACCATTAGAATTATCTTGAGTAACCTGACGGCAGTAAAAGATACAAGGCAAGACTTTTAGTGAAAAGGTTTCAACAAAAACAAGAAATTGACTTCATAGAGAATTCCTCTCATGTTGTCAAGATGACTACCATTAGAATTATCTTGAGTATCATAGCTGCAAAGAAATTCCATTTGGAATAATTAGATGTTAAAATTGAATTCCTACATGGAGATTTAGAGGAAGACATCTATATGGTACAACCAAAAGGTTTTAAAGCTTTAGGCAAGGAGAATCTTATGTGCAAACTTCACAAAAACTTGTATGGTTCGAAACAAGCACCAAGACAATGGTATAAGAAGTTTAATTAGTTTATGAGCAACTCTGGATTTCATAGATGTTATGCAGATCATTGCTGCTATGTTAAGAAGTATGTTAATAATTATGTCATTCTTCCTTTATATGTTGATGACATGTTAATTGTAAGGTCCAGTATGACAAAAATCAACGAATTAAAGTAACAGTTAATAGAAAACTTTGAGATGAAGAATCTTAGATCAGCTAAATAGATTCTTAGCATAAGAATTCTCAAAAATATATCAGAAGGTATTCTGAAGCTGTTTTAAGATAAATATATAAAAAATTTGCTTGATAAATTTAATGTCGGAGATATCAAGACCAAAAATACCCTTTCAAGAACTCAAAAGTAATAAATGTGAAAGTGTCAAAAATATGAACATTCATAGCAATAATGGTGGAAGGAGGTTTGAAGATAATATATAGTAATAAAATAAAATAAAATATTCAAGAAACAAAATAAGTACAAGTGATGCTCCATGGTCAATTTTCTTGTTTTTATTTTATAAAGTGTGAATAATTCTTTACATAAAAATGACAAGAAAAAATGTTGCATTGATAAATATTTTTTTAATCTTTCCTCTAGTGTTTCAAAATTATACTTATACTTGTTTGAAGACAAATATAATTCCATTGTTGTTGAAGAAAAACATTAACATAGAAGGGTATTTTAATAATAAAATTTTCAAATTTTTTAAAAAAGTGGTATAACTAAAAAAAAAAAAAAAGTAGAGGCACTAAAAGTAATATCCTTATTTTTAATCAGTTTGAATATTATTTGTTCTTAAATTTCAAACAACTCAATCCAATTACGCCCTTGATGAACAAGACAGACCAAAAAGTAAGAAAAAAAAAGGTTACTAAGTTCGTTTGGGAAGATACATTACTTATATAAGCTTGCGCTGAAAATGTAAATCTTATTTTAAAATTAAAGAAGAGTAACCCATGAAAGAATAAAAAATGGTCTAAATAAAAAAATTGATTTAGAAACATACTGTAATTTTATTTTTATATGAAAAAAGACATAATTATTAAAATATAATATTTTAAGAAAAATAAAAAAATATAAAAAAATTTCAAAAAAATTGTAAGTGACATGTCCATGACATTTTATTTTTTTATTTAAAAAATTTATTAAGTTTTTAAAAATTGCCGCTTTGACTAATTTTAATTTTAAAATTATTATTATTATTTTGTTAAAAAATTGTCGCCGATGGATTTTGAATTCGGACAATTTTTAAATTTTTAATTTTTGTAATTATTTAAAAACATCATGTGTTATTATATATAATTTTTAAAACTCGTCTAAAAATAAATAGTCTACAGTATTGTAATATCTTTAAATTAGTCGTGTACAGAAATATGACATGTGAAATACACTTGTAATGATAGTATTGGAGTCTTTCAAAGGCTCTAATTTTTGAAGGTGGCAAAGAAGAAAAAGAAAAGAAAACATAACACTTAACTACTAATCGGTCACAGGGATATATTCTCGAAATTCTTTAAGGTACAACTGTCCAACCCTTGCTTGTATCAAAGGAAAAGAAAACAAGGAAAAATAAATAAATAAAAACCCGTTAAAAAGGCATCATGCAGTGATTGGGAAAAGCAAAAACCGCACCAAATGCTAAATTGACAGGCGTCCACTACAAAATTTGCATTTCTAAATAAAAATGGATGACTCGTACTCAATTAGACTACCCCTACGAGCCACGATATTTTTTCTCACTCTTTTTAACGAGGTCCTTCTTTTTATGAAAAGCCTTCACTTTTCTTTTCTTTTTAAATTAAAATTATAAAGATATTCGCTTATATTATGTCTCATAGTCTTGCTTTTAAGCGTTCCCTCTCCCTGCCTTGTGACGTCTCTCATGTTCAAATGGCTGCTACAGAAACGAAACCCGAAGGTAATGAAGTGGAAGCACATATTCAACCTCTCACATTTAAGGTAAAACAACTGTGCCACCGTTTATATTTGTTTAACATCTCTCAAATGGGACTCCAACATGTTCTGAACTTGTCATGCTTGTTTCTCAGACCGTTGTGTTGAGAGTCTCCATTCACTGCGAAGGATGCAAAAGGAAAGTAAAGAAAGTTCTACAAGCCATAGACGGTAATGATCATCAAAATCAAACCTTTTTATCTTTCGCTTCTGATTTTCAGTAGTGTTTTTGTTCCTTTCCATTTCTTTCTCAACAACTCCACCTGGGTTCCCCTCATATCATCTCTTTCAAATCTTACGCTCATTAAACTCCTCTTTTTTTTCTTCTTCTTTATACTACACACGTTACTATTCTCCTTAACATGCTCTCGTTAACACCTATGTTGTTACCCCAAAGCTTAATCTCTTGCTCATAATCATTGCCCTTAATTAATCCAGGAGTTTATAACATAGACATTGATTTGAGGCAACAAAAAGTCATAGTAACGGGAAACGTAGGGAGCGAGACGTTGATTAAGAAATTAACTAAGATAGGGAAGCACGCAGAGTTATGGCCTGAAAAAGCAGATTCCAAAAAGAAAAAAGCAGAGAACATAGAGAAACAAAGCAACCCAGAAAGCAGCGAAGAAATCAACCAAAGCGGTGGTAAAGATAAAGATAAAGAACCTGTCGCCCAAGACACATCCAAAACTGCCGAAGTCACTGCAAATAATAATAACAATAATAACGCCGTTAAAAACAGCGACGGATGCGGTGCGGTTAACGTTAACAAAGCCAACGAAGGATGCTCCACCGGTAAAACCGGTGTGCAGTTTCAAGAACCAAAGCCAGAGGCCAGACAAGCCGCCATGTTACCGGCCGAACCAGTAACGGAGAAAAAAGTCAGCGTAGCAGTTCAATTTCCTAACGAAAATGAAGCACCGGAGAGTGAGAAAATTGGCGAGGGCGGAGGGAAAAAGAAGAAAAAGAAGGGTAAAGGGAATAGCAACAATGGCAACGAGGGTGCTAGTGCTACGGCTAGGGCTACGGCTACGGCTACGGCTAGTACTAACGCTACCGTTACGGTTGAAGATCGCGGTGATGCCCCTCCCAACGGTGGTTTCGGTAACCAGTCACAGGGACACGCTCATGTGATTCATGTCCCTGGGCCAGTTCCATTTTCAAGACCAGCCAATGAGAGTCCTCCACGTCATCACATTTACCATCAATATCCACCGCATTATTATGCTCCTCCGGTTCATACAGTGAACTATCACACAGCTTATCCAAGCAGCAGCTACGGTGCAGCGTATTATGCGTCTCCACAACCGTATTCATACACCCATGTGGTGCGACCAGTGAACGAAATGGAGGCTCCACCGTATGTATACGAATCGGAATCGTATACTACATCGCAGCCGTCTGATTCATTCGTGTACTTTAGCGATGAAAATCCTAATGCGTGCTCAGTCATGTGAGGGTGAGTGCAATCATTCCATTTGAGTGCATTTTGGACTTTTACACATACAACTTGTATGAGCATGGCCATGGCCATAGTGTAATTTTGTAATGCTTGTAGATATACAAGAATATTATAACAGCCTTTTCTTTTTTATTTTAAGGGAAAGAAGAAAAAGATGAACTTTTTCGTGTTTTGAACGGATGAAATTGTTGGGTGCAATAATGGGGCTCTGCCTCTCCATTTTTATGATCAGTGGTTTGTTCTTGCTTTCTATCATGCTACGACATATACTGAATTGCAAAATTATTGACCTTGATCCTACCCCACAATCTCCATATTAATTTTCGGTTCTGGGTTAGGGGAAGGTTCAAATGACTTAGTTATTGAAAGTGTGTTTATTTATTAAAATTAAAACAATTTTAATAAAATATTTCTATTTAATGTGATTGTTTATTAAGAATTTTTTTTTATATTAATTAATGAAAAACATGAACAGCATAGAAAATAATGTTCCTTATTGTTAGTGTATTATGTTAGATTGGGATCTTTCCAATAACTGCGCCTGGTATTTGGTGTATTTTTGCCAAGGCCAGGCTTAGGCTAGTTTCCTCTTATGTCAAAACGCCAAGCGGTTGATTCTTGCAATGAGAGGCGCAGAGCTGAGTTCTGAGACTATTAAGACTTATGCGATGTATTATGTTAAATCGTCCAACGCTGATATGCTAGAGAAGAAAGGGTCTTTCAGAAATAACTTGTATTGTCGATTTCTCACCATATATCATACACCGTTTGATTAAAAAACTTTGGACCAATGGTTAGGAGAAGTTATCCTTTACTTTATTATTCAAATGAAATGGAAGACACTAGAATTCACCTTTTAAATGAAAACTTTATTTCGGGTTGTTTTCTTTTTGTTGAAAATACTAGACCCAGCTTTAAAATTTTGCTAAATATGAACATGCTCTTCGTTGGACAGGTTTCCTTTTGGAAAGAATTAGTAGTTGCTTTGCTTGGTGCATTTTGCCTTTCTTTGCTAGTTAGCAATCTTCAGCTGCCCCTTGAGAGTAACTTATTAACGTTTATGCACGCTTTCTTTGAAATCAAGCCTCTTTTGGTGTGTGGTGACATGTCAAAATCTTTGAAAAACAGAACTTTATTTATTTATGTGTCTACTTCTTTAACTTTCTTTGTTATGACCTTGTTAAGTAAAGCAGCAGCTAGACCTCACGTCGATGAGCAACTCTTCAAAAAAAGAAAACGAAAAACTTTTCCTTTTGGGGCTGTTGGGTGTAGTTGCACTTAGCACTTTGTTTAGGCAAATGAATTTTTATCTTTTCTTTCTGTTGTCGGCTTGATCAGAAAAGATAATTAAAAGATGGAAAATTTATCAATAATAATAATAATAAATCGATCCATTTGTATGTTTATTTTGTATTTGAGAAGTTAGCAATACATAACCAATGATAAACAGCACTCAAGTGGGCAAGTGTCAACTATGAAAACACACGAACTTAATTAACAAATGAAAGTTTGCATTTGCCAAACAGATCATACCCGTAAACTTTCGTGCAATTTTCGTACAGTAATTTTTGTACACTGATTCGCACCCAAACTCCCTCAAAGCGGTGCCCATATTCCTGGCGTGTTGGAATGGGACAAACACCGCCTCTTTTTGGAGGTGTATTTGTGGATCTAACTTTATCAGGAATGGTTTTATCAAAAATCGATTGAAATTATTCAAACCATTATTATAAATCTCTGGATAGCTCTTCTGGCTTTGATTCTGCCGTCAACTTGAAGCTTATTGGACCTTTGCAGACGATTTTTTAGTCTAATTTATTCTTATTCATTTATGAGAGGAAACCGTATATGTGACGGAATTCCAAGTTATTGTGATGCAATTGGTTGAACAACATTTCTTTTTTAAGATCTATATTGCTGCTATAATAAGATAACGTGACTAACAAATCACTCAGACCGAATCATAAGTCTGCCAAACTTATTTAATAAAATTTTAAATCTAAAAGCAAGTTAATAACAGTGTTTAGAGGAAATCTGAACGGACTGCTCTAGAAAACATTATGGAATAATCGAATATAATCGTAATGTGGAAACAGTAACATTCGATTTGATGGTAGCGGTTAGAGCATGATTGTGAAGCCGTTTGCAATTGCAATTAAATAATTGCAAACGAACATGCAGGCGTCCCAAAACACGAAACAAACAAGAAAGAATTTATTCCATGGAGATTGAAGGTGCGTTTACACTTACATATTTATGAAGGCCTTCTTGCATATTCTCTCGTTTTTTCATTTTTAACGCAGAGGAACCTGATTCCATTTTATCAAAGATTCAATTTACCTTCTTATACAAGCCTCAATTCCCTTCACACGTTGAAACCTTGGAAGAAGATAACGGTTAACTTCAAATTCATACGTCAGCTTGCACAATTTTAAATAAAGGGATCAGAAGGGTTTTTCATTTTTTTTGTTTTCACCTGAGCATTAGAAAATGTTTTGATCCTTTGAAAAGCCTCTCTAGTTTGTAAATTGGGAAGACCACTTGTTCCTGCTAGGAAAACACTAATCTTTAAGTCTCTGCTTCGATGAGGTGACATCCTTTCGAATCTTGTCCTGTAAAAAGCATTTCAATGCTCAAGTCAGGTCTTGACTCTGAGCAGTAAATACTTAATTATTTTTTATTAAAAGTCTGTCTTTACCTGTACCTTTTACCTTTCTTTTATAGGAGATATTATGAGCTAATGGACTTCGTAGACCAGCCCTAATCCTGATCAGTAATTTATTAATTATAATTAATTTATAATTATCATGTTTTGTGGCGTGCTCGTCCTTCATAGGCCGAATATATATTCAGTTTCCTCTTTTCATAACTAAAATCGAGTAGTGTCTTATCCAGTACACCACTCTTTCAGTCTCCACCTAAAGAAAATATTGTGGAATTTTTGCAGCTTTATTTTGTTTTGTTCCATAAGTATTTCATTTTCTAACAGTTTTCTGTCTTGACCCACTTAATCCATAAAGTGATTTTAGCCTGCCCCAATTTTTGAATGCCCAAATCCCTAAATGATATGTCATAGTTGTTTACGTATGAGAGATATTTTCTCCTCCACTTCTTATTGCATTTGAGTTACATTGTTTTTAATTGAAGAAAAATACACCAGACCAAAAAAATGGAGGAAAATACAAATTTAGCTTCTTCAAAATAAAGAAAAATTATTTTTTTTAAATTATATATATATATATATATATGTCACAATGTGAATCGCAGTGAGACTAGATAAGTAAAGAGTGAAAGGTACACTTAGGTTAATTAGTAGGGATATTTATTTAATGAAATAAAATTTAAACATGAATTAATTTTGAAATAAATTTATTTTGTAAAAAATTAAAAGTAAAATTAGTATATAAAGGTCTTAACAATTTATAACACATAAAGATAAAGATGCGACATATTACGGTTACAAATCACTATACTAATATAATTTTAATTTAGTTAATAAATTAGTAAATTAATCATTTAGTATTTAAAGTGAGAAATATTTAAAAAATGTATTTATTAAGTTAGTTAGAATTAAGAAATATAATTTAATTTATGATAAACTTGTATTATTAAAAATGAAAGGAGAAGATATTCAAATGTGCATATTCTAATAAAAAATAAAATAAAAAGAATAGGTATTTAATGAATAAAAATAATTTAATGTTTTAAGAAATATTTATATATTGCATGAAGTCTAAGGTAAAGTAGGTAATCATAGATTTCACCAATTTTCAACCGCATAAAAATAGAGTTGCTACAAGTTAGTATTATAAATCGTTGTGAAATTTTTTAACTTAATTAAAAATAAATTATATATAATAATTAGATAGAGAACTAGTTAAGCAAGTATGTTGTGATTAATCAAGGAAATTAAAGAGAGTATACTTTAATTGGTTTTATAATTAATTAGAGATGAATTATGGTTTAATTTTAAATAAATTTTTATTATTTGATAATTAAGGAGGAGAATATTTTAAAGAATAAAATTTTAACAAAATAAAAAATTAACAGTTAATTAGTAAAAAATATAATACAAATTAATTTTTAAATACACACATAGTACATGAAACTTAAAGTGACATTGATATACATAAGTTTCAATAATTTATAATGCACAAAAGTAGAATAACTATACATTAGACTTATAAATCATTGCATAAATTTTATTTACTTATTTATTTATCATTGTTATGTAATTATGAAAGAAAATATAATTTACTAATTATAGAATAAAGAAAAGATACATGACTTTAAATTAAATTATATTCACTTTATACAAAGATAAAATAACAATGAAAATAAGAGTACCAATAGATAAATAATTAAATAAAATAATAATAGTAAAATATTATGCAAATTATAATGATAATTTTATCTTTTAATATGATTTTTATCTTTCTCATTTAATTTTTTTTATTTTATTGTTATTTATAATATTAATATTTAGATTTGTGACTCTAAAAATGAGTAACACATCATAAAAATATTAAAATAGTAAAAATAAACTTATATATATATATATATATATATATATATTTTTGATATTTTGCAAGCTACCAAATTTTCGTTTTAGTAAATGAGTAAGGGTTGTCGTATTCATAGGAATTAGAAAATATATCAATAATTTCTATTATTCTAATTAAAACTTTCAGTTAAAAAATGTATAAATGTTTGCACACGTTTGCTCATGGATGAAAAAAATTCAATCAAATAAGAAATAAAATAAATTTAAATATGAAAAGGTTATGGTTTGAGCTGAGATTGGATTCATTATTCATTTTCTTCTATATTTTGATAAATAAACATTTAGGCACAAATCTATAAATGTAGATGCAATATCTTAATGTTTCCTTATATCGATTCTTTATATACAAGATTCTTAAAGAGAATTTAATGAATAATGATTCTTCAATTGTTCAATGAATTCTCCAGCATTAAAAATGAGAGTTAAAAAGCAACCGATATAATCAAACATATTCCTAACATTACAATACATCGAGTGGATTTCATTCAATTTGATTCTAAAGTTTGTTTTCTAACTAAACCTTAAATCCTAAATCAAAATACTATTACATAGAATAGGATCAAGTATAATGAATAAAATGAAACCACCAACATTTATATATATAAAAAACTACTATATAAAAATCA